TATCTTGCAGGAATGGAAAAAGAGTCACTGGAGAAGACGACCGAAGCTAGGGCTCTGGTGCTTCTCCGGTCCAGTTATTTCATTTTATCTTATATTTAATTTATTTCTTTTATATCATCGGATGTATCACCACCTAAGTGGTGGCGCACTTGTCTCTAAGTCATTATTATGCCAAGGCGTGGGTTCGATCCCATTCTTTTGGCATTTTAGGATTCTTTTCACATTTTTTTCCATGTTTTACAGGTATGACATAAAATGTGTTGGTTCTATTCTTTGAACACAAGAATGCACTTGGTGCAGTGGTGGACCGGCTGGGCAAGAAAGCTAAGGGTATGGACCCACCCCTAGCATTATGTGTTTTTCCCTATTTTTTAACTTTGTTTCCTTTTTCCCTTAAAAACCCTAAATTCATTTAACCATAAACCTTTTTTAACAAACCTAATTTTTCAAAACCTTTTTTATAAACCCTAATCAAATTAGGTATTAGGTTTTTAATATAATTAATTTTTTTAATTAAAATTAATTAGACTTTTTAGGTTTATTTAATTAATCACCAAAACCATCTTTTTATCAAAAATCACTAAAATATTTTTTTTTCCTTTTCTTATTCTTACATTTTTGCGTAGCTTATTTCTCTCGCGTTTCCCTTTTTCATTATTGTAACTGTTCTTGGTTTGTAATAGTCATAAGTTTTTACTTTCCGCAATTTCTATTATGTAACTGCCCCAAAGCGATGTAATAGTATAAGTTTTACATTTTCTCTTTTACTTTCCGCACCTTTATTGTTTTCTATATTTGCTATTTACTGCTTAGTAATTAGGGTTTGCATGAAAAGACTAAAATGAATAATTAGAAAACCCTAATTCGAGATAAAAATAACTGAATTGAATCACTATTCACACACACACACACATCTCTAGGGTAGTCTCTCTTGTTGCCTTTCGATTAAACAGTCATGTCCCTCGAAAGTGGGGACGCTTTAGCAAAGCCCCTCTATTAAAAGATAATAGTCCCTCGATGACCCTTTGATGTTGCCTTTCAATAAATGATCTAGTTCCTTACGAAATTGCTAAAGCATTCTTACCATATGCCTTTGATGACTGTACGACGACCCTCGTCTATCCCTTCACATCCAACGATAGGGCTTCCTACTAACTAATGGTAGGATGACACTATCTAAAGAAGGAGGAAAAATACAAGAACTACCTTGAGTAGGATAGAACTCTTAATCGCTTACTAACAAATCTCTTCAAAACAAAACATTTCTCACAATCACACTTTTTAATAAACATTTTCAAACAAACACTTTGTACGCATTCTCGAAAGCCGATACGAGAATCATTACAAAGTTTTTCCTTACATTGGCAACTTTTCAAAATATTTTCAAACACACAACACAAAGAAAGTTTCAAAAAGTGAGCTAAGCGATTAAGAGTCTGTAGATAACTACGGATGAAAAGGGTGCTAACACCTTCCCTTTTCATAACCTACCCCCCGACCTCAAAATCTTCAAGGTATTTCCTATTCTCTTCACCCTTTCCTTATTGGATAAAATAAAAATCGGTGGCGACTCTTGTTATCTGCAACATTTGCGATAAAACGCAAAAAAAAAGTCAGTTCTCCCATCGTATTACAGGTAGGTATGTAGATGAATGTGAAGCCTAAGCCAGAGAGAAGAATAAATACGATGACAAATTTTGAGGTGCAACAAGACCCCTTATGCCAGAGGCCCATCTCATTTTATGTTACTCCCCCACTGAGTTTTCTCACTTCTGTAGGAGTTCATTTTTGAAGTACTGGTGTTCATCTCACTTCAACTAGGACATCCATTCCTACCGCACCAGGTTGGGTCCTCTTTTCACTAATGACGAGGTGATGATGGAAGACATGAATTCTTGGTTTTAGGGGCTCGATTACGAGTAAGAGTCCAACTCTGGTGAGGTTCCCGATACCAAGGTAAGTAAAAGATAGAATGACACGTATGACATTATGAATGCAATTATCCTGTGAGAAAAGAAATAATTTTTTGGTGAGGACGGAGTCTTGATATTTTTTTGACATGCATGGTTGCATTTTACAAATAAGATGGACAAGCTAAAAATGGCATATGATCTTGTTAATATCCAAGGCATTAACGTTGACTATTTTAGCTTGAATGTAACCACGACTCCTTCTTCGTTTGCCACTCCCCTCTCATCTCTTGGGCCTACTACTACCCCTAAGGCCGACCAACCGATTATAGTCGCAACCACTTTTATTCTGAATGAGTCATCCCCATCTCTAGTTTCAACAAAGAGGGCCTGATATGACTGCTAACCCAAGAAGATGGTTCTCTAAAATGGACCAGTCTTTCTTAGTTACCGACAATCCCTATAAGAAAAGGGACGTTTAGAAGGGGAAATGTGAAGCTATGAAGAAGAAGTGTTCTGCTCTTTAGAAGGATCTGGATGAGCTTCAGAAGAAGGTCGAGCTTGTTGACTCTCTACGAGCGACAATGAAGACCTATGAATCTCTTTCTACTCTGGCTTCATGAATAACTGAGTTAGAGACTGCTCTTAAGGCCAAGGAAAAACGTCTTTAGGATGCCTCAGATGGTGCTACAAAGAAGACTCGTCGGGTGGAGGAGGATCAAAAAGCTCCCAGTCGGGAGGTCGAGGCTCATGTTAAGGCTTTGAAGACTCTTAAAGACGAGGTTATCGGTCTGAAGGTGACACTACAAGATTCCCTCAAATGGACTGTGCAAGTCGTGTTTAGGGTCTGCAGTCGGGTTAAGGAATAGACAAAGAGGTTCTGCCCCACTACTGAGATTCCTGTTAAAGAGTTAAACCCCTTTTAGGTTTCAGAATGCTTCTGAAAGAGATCAAGATGGTGGTCGTGGCATCTTGGTTTCGGGCGCTTCAACTTAAACTATTCACATTAAAACCATTAAGATTTAACAGCGATTAAGGCTCTCTTTTGTGCACAAATATAATAGAGACAAGATAAAATAAGAAGTTAAATAAATAATAATAATAATAATAATAATAATAATAATAATAATAATAATAATAATAATAATAATAATAATAATAATAATAATGATAATAGGTTGTGATAGTGATATGATAACCCTTATCATATAATATATTTAGTACTTTTCTGAAATTGAAGTATTTAATCATATCGAGATTTTTTTGTTGTAAAGTCTGATAATATCAATCAAACAAAAATAAAAATGTGTGAGAAAAACAAACAATGACAATCAAAGTAAATGGTCTCAAAGAACAAAAATAACACAAACATAATAAGTACGTTCACATCAAGAAAGAGAAAGATATAAGATGAGTATAAAGAAAATTATTTATCCATTTCGATCGAGTTAATCTACTATAGAAAAAGAGAGAAACTATGTGGTTCACTGTACTTATAAAATTTATTCCATGATATTAGAAATAAGTTTCAAAAAAATAGTCAACCAGATCTTCAAGAACAAATTATATTTTCTATCTTAAATGTTTCTCAATTTCTCTTACTCTATATATGAATCACACAAACCTAATTTATTTAGAAGTGTCTCTTAATTCTTTTAGATATCTCCAAAAAAGTTTGACTTTGTCAATCGACGTGTCGACATCAAAAATCCGATCAATTTATCACTTTGTTACAGTGGTGTCCTCCGTTGGCTTTCCAATTATTTTCCGTGTATTCTAATATATATAGTTTCAAAAATACGTCCGTATTTTAGAAACATTGTTGATTTTTCACAAAGGTGCGGAAAGAAATAATACCCTAAAAATATCTTTAAGATAAACAATCTAAGATCTTGATGCCTAATTACTAAGACAGATAATAGTATGGTTTAGTTGATATTTTGGTTACGTAGGTCCCATGAAAACAAAAAAGTATGTATGAGTGTGACAAAGCGCGTGGAGATCAAGGAGCGCAACATTAATGGCTCATCAGTTTCAAACGTATTTTCCTGTTCCCTGTCACCCACTCTTCCCTCCCTCCCATTCACAAAAACGATGGACAATTTCACAAACACACATAGTAAACATATTAACACTCTCAGAATAAGAAAGAGAAAGACTCAGTAACCAAGCTCCAAAGAAACTTCATCTACCTCAACGACCCTCTACTTTCCCTCACCTTTCTCCTCCATCTCCAAAACCACCTCTTCACCCCATACATTCTACTAATCTCCATCTTACACTCTCTTTTTCCACCTCTTGCATCTTCTTCTCATGTTACAACATTTTACGTCTTTATGTTTATGCTGTGTTTCTCTTTCTCTCTTTTTTCGAACAAGAAAAATCTTTCAAATTATGATTATCAATTCATTCTAATGATGAAGTTAGATATACTAATTACTTGCATTTTAGTTTTAGTGCGGCTACGATGTTGACAGTGCCATCATTATTGTTTGTTGCTGGTCCATGAAGTGTACCATCATAGTACTTGAGTAAAAGTGAGGAAACCACTATATATATATATATATATATATATATATATATATATATATATATATATATATATATATATATATATATATATATATATATATATATATATATATATATATATATATATATATATATATATATATATATATATATATATATATATATATATATATATTCTTTTTGAGTAAATGCTAATTATAATACACTACTAGTACTAATTATTAGTATTATTTTGGTGCATGTTTTTATTTATTTAATTTTTTTTGGGTTTTTAATTTGTTAGGTGGTAGTGGAGTTAGTTTTTATTTGGAGTTTCTTTGAAGGGATATTATATGTGGTATGTTTGTTAGATGTTATTTTGAACTTGAACCAAGGATCCAATGTGGTGGTCAACTAATCTAATGCAAAGTACAAGCAATATAGCTTCTTCTTATGTTATAAATCAAATTCCTCATTGTCTTAATTTCTTTTGCAGATTGATATTGCAGGACTTGTGGGTCAGGAGCATTAAAGAACAAGTTTGTTTAGTTTGCTTTTTTATCAGATAGATATTAAAACATGCAGACTCAAAAAGCAAGGTAAGGTTGTCCTATTTGACACTTTTGCAACATTCTCTTCTTTTTCTTTTCCGTACATATAAATGTTATGGTCTAAATGATTGTTGAAATTGAATTGCTCTTATTTTATTTAGTAGGAGTTGTTTTAAACTTGATATCCGACCTTACGACCGACTAATTTAATGAGACTAATCTATTTAAAGACAAACTTTGTATAGACCGACTCAACAGAGATTATTAGCACCTAACAAAATTCGAACCTGAGACTTTGAGAGAAATACTCTGAAGTCTTCTCTGGAGTTATCTTGATGACTAATTAGATACCCTTCATCCACATCCGCCCGGATTGCGAGATGTTGGTTTTTATTTCATGGGAGACTAATATAGAATTAAAATATTGAGAAATTTATTATAAGATATAGATGAGACTGTTATAATTTTTTCCTGTCAAATTGTATATGAAACATTTTTATCAATATTACTTATATTGTCTAGAATATGTTGTAATCAATACTTTGTATTGTATATATCTTGTATCTTGTTTAGGTTTGAAACAAAAAAAAATCTATGTATTAGTGACAAATATTTGTTCCGTTTATGAGAGGGGAAATATGTGTAACACCAATATTTTTGAAAGGAATGTCCTATTTCTTTATTGGACCTATAATCCTTCTTGTATAGATGCCATTTTGCAAAGAGATTAGTATGATATATGTATAAATACTTTTCTATCTGCACTCAACTGTTATTTAACTTTGTTGATTAACATATTGTTGGCTGTGAGTAGAAATGGTACTTCAGGAGTGTCGCGAAAGAAATCTCCTTCGAATCCGCGGACTGCTCGCAAAACGAAAACACCAGGATCTGGTTCTAACTCGGTTCCATCATCTCCAAGTCCAGCAAGTAAAACTCCAAAAGATAGAAGCCCAAATGTCAACTCAACACAAAGTTCAATATCTGAGGTAGATTTTAAGTTGATGCATGGCTAGAACTATAAGACTTAACTTTTGTACCATTGTGGTTGTTGGTAACTTCATGGATCCATTGTGTTTACATATTATTTACTTTATCTCTTTGACTTTTTCATCTGCCTTTAGAAGAATGGAACAAACAGGGTCCATGAATTGGAGTTTCTGCTATCTCAACTCGAAGAAGATCTAAAGAAAGCTAAGGAACAAGTTAACTCGACAGAATTGTTGAAGACAAAAGCTCAGCGTGAGGCGGAAGATGCAAAGAATAAGCTTTTATCCATGTCAAGAGAGTTGGAGGAATCACAGCAACAGCTTCTGGAGCTATCTAATTCTGAAGACGGACGGATTCAAGAACTACGTAAAGTTTCTCAGGACCGAGATAGAGCATGGCAGTCTGAGCTAGAAGCTGTCCATAAGCAGCACGCAATGGATTCGTCTGCTTTAGCATCTTCCATGAATGAAATCCAGAAACTGAAAATGCAACTTGAAAGAGCACGCGAATCTGAAGCTACTCTGATTGACAATGCCGAGTCAGCTGATGCTGAGATTCAAGACTTGAGGATGGAGCTTGATGAAACAATGTCTTCCATTGAAAAGCTGAAAAATGAGGTGAACCAATGTAGAGAGTCTGAATCGCAGGCTTTGGAAATAGCTGGCAAAACTCAAATGCAATTGGAAACTGCAAATAAGACAGTGGAAACCCTTCGGTTAGAAGGTGCGAAAGCGTCAGAAGCATTCCAATCTTTAGCTTTAGAGTTGGAGCAATCAAAGGCTCGTGTACAATCATTGGAGGAACTTGTGAGCAAACTTCAGGATGATTTGGTCAGTGGAGCCGGTTTATCTCCTTGCTTACCTGCATTGGAAGTCATAGAAAATGAAGAGATAAACCGTCTCAATGCGGAGCTTGTCTCGGTTAAAGCTGAAGCAGGGAAATTAAAATCTGCATTAGATGTTGCTGAGGTAAGTTATCAGGACGAGTATATTCGAAGCACATTGCAGATTAGAAGTGCCTTTGAACAACTCGAGCACACAAAATCAGAATCTAATAAAAAACAAGCTGAATTATACGAGGAATTGAAGAAAGCTAGAGCTGATATCGAAGAGTTAAAGGCGCGCTTGATTGACAATGAATCTCATTTGCAAGATACTGATGTGGCTGAGTTGAAGGAAAAATTGTTGGAGAAAGAGACAAAACTAAAAAATGTAACTGAAGAGAACAATGCACTCAAGATGGAAATAAAGAGAGAGGAGATAGAGAAGAATAAAACTACATATGAGGCCGTTGCTTCTGCGGAGGCAGCAAGGGCTGCGGAACGAGAGGCTTTGACAAAACTTGGCTACATAACAGAAGAAGCTGATAACAGTAACAGAAAGATAGCAGAGGTAACTGAGGCGTTAGATGCTGCGTATGCGTCGAATTCGGAGTTAGAGGCTGAATTAAGGAGATTGAAAGTGCAGTCAGATCAGTGGAGGAAAGCAGCTGAAGCAGCCGCTGCTATGATTTCTTCAGCAAACAACAATGAAAAAATTGGGGAGCGAACCGGTTCGCTTGACAGTGGCTACAACAATTCTACTACTAGTAACAAGATGTGTTCGCCTTATTCGGAAGGCACTGATGATGACTCACCTAAGAAGAAAAATACAACCGTGTTGAAGAAGATTGGAGTTTTGTGGAAGAAGAATCATCAATAGATAGATAGACATATACAAGATTGTGTAACTATGTATAATATGCTTCATTACTCATGTTTCATTGTGCTTGTTTGCTTTCTACTAGTATTTGTTGTGTATCCTCTGGTTTGATCATTATTAAAGCAATCCTTGGGAAATATTTGCCTCAAGAAGTTCATGTAGCAAAGATTTCTAAGATACATTGTTTTGATCATAAGTATTTGTTTTGTAATTAATATCGTTAGTACTGTTTCCATTGATGGTTAGGTTGCAATGATGTAATTATCAATCACATTCAGTATTAGTGATGTTATATGTAATTCTTTCATATTTCACTAGTATAGTTTACTTTGTTCTTCCTTTTTCTACATTATTTTGTTCTTCCTATTAAATTAAGGGAAACAAGAGCACTATTGGTCATTCTAAAACAAACTGATATAACTTTATTTTGATGTTCAATATATACGTAATTCATGATTATACTACTTTATTTTATGTTTGTTGAACTAGCAAAGTGATCGTACCTGATCAGGCGGGATCGTCAATGGCCCACAAATTTAGACTGAGCGGCAGTTGAAAGTGAAGTGGGATGGTACTGCAAGCAGAATGCAAGTAATGAAAAATGTGAAGAATGATGTATCTGACCCTCTATTGAAAGAGGGTATTTATAGTTCACTTCGTTGGGCCAAGACCTTCGTTATGGGCTGATGATCCAGACCCACAACAAGCTACCAGGACTCACGTGTGTGAAGTGGAGCAGCGCGTGTCCACGATTCTGGTTCAACTGTCCCGTCTTCTTTGGATAGCGAAGGACCAGTTCTTCATGGATAGCAAGATATCTCGCGATAATCGGAGGGCAGTTGACCACGTGCTTATGGAGGCACGTGGAGGAAACGTTCCTCAACGGTTATGAATTGAATTGGGTGATAAACGATTTCTATTAAATGAATGCCTACTGAATTACATTAGTGACCTTTATATACACATTTAGGAAATATAACAACCTAATTATTTCAGTTGACTTGTGTTGCAAGTCACTTACTGGCAATGCAAGTAACCTACTCCAAATTATGAATTTACATTCATAATACTCCTTTTAATTCATATGAGTTAGTTTCCTCATTTCTATCATGTCCTTTAGGCAGTAAAATCTTGCACTCTTCAATGACTTGGTGAATATATTTGTAAGTTGCAATTCAGTTTTGCAGTAATCAACTTCTAACTTGTTCTTGATCTCTTAATAAGTGGTGATTTATTTCAATATGGTTACTCTTACCATAACTTATTGTTTGACTAGCCAAATTAATTGTTGATTTGTTATCAACCAACAATTTAATCTGCAACTCTTCCAATAACATTACTATCCAAATTGCTTAACATACTGCATATGAGGCTGCTACATATCAATCCAAGGCACACGAATTTGAGACCTAGAGGTTGCAAGAACATCAAGAATGAAACTTGAAAAATTGACAAAAAAGTGTGAGACTGAAATCAAGCTTGGAGGCACTTTCAGGACTCAACAAGCATCACAATCGCTTCCTGGAAATTCTCAGAAGCAAAACCAATCAGAATCACTCATTCCCCAGCCTCCTAAAGCACTGTAAGCATCTCACGGATCTGCCATGTTCTTGGATTCACAAATCTTCATTCTTGCATCCATTGTAAAAAACGATTGCATATTCTGATTCACTACATCATTTGTTAACTTTCTGCTATAACCAATTTTATTTTCATGCTTTGTATCGTAAAACACCATTGTAGGTTTTTCTAGGGTTTTTTCAGGGGTTTTTATTACAGTAAAAATTGACTAACAAAAGGGGCATGGTTGATACCAGGATGAGGAGGCGAGTATGACCATGCCTTTGGATTGCATTTTTGTAGCTCGTAGAAAGTTTTGGAGATGGCATGGTTTACAACTATGGAATGTTGTCTGTTGGTATAGGTTGAGAATGTTTTAGCCACAGTCCAACGACAGGGACGATGGCATGTCATGATCTAATTCGCTTATTCAAAAATAGCGCGCTTTATTTTGTTTTCTGATCCATTAATGTGTTTTGTCTTATTATTATTAGTTTTCAATACCATAACAGTTGAAGCACAATGGTTGAGTGGCAAAGGCATGTATCTAATGACCAACAGGACCTGGGTTCGAATCCTAGGTCCCCCATATGCCTTGCTATTATTTTTTTTTCAGGTTATCCAGTGTAAACTCAAGCGCGTGGCCTATCATACAGCCTCACTCAATCTCTTGCCAGATGGCCCCAGGCCAGATCTGGTGGTCCATATGGGACGTCCATCATGCTACCAAGTCAAGGTGCCACATGGAATCAGGAAAAGTCAAGCCAGGCCAATGAAATTGGGCCCTGGAATTGCTGAATAAACCTCCAAAATCAGGCCCAAACCCTAACTTTTTCTCTTTTCTTTTATTATTTCTTTAAATTATTTATTATTATTATTTTTATTATTAATTAACCAATTAAATCTTTTTCTTTATTAAAATAAAAACCAAAAAATATTTTCTTTATTAAATTAAATTTCAGTATTTTTATTTTTATTAACCAAGTCAATTAATTAATTTAGTTTTAATTAGGAATAACTTTTAATATATTTTGCAATAATTAAAATTAACTTAGACAATTAGGTTTTATTAACATTGATCAAATTTATTTTTATTTCTTTAAATACCAAAAACCCAAAAATATTTTTATTAATTTATTTATTTATTTATTTAATAATTAACTTAGTTTAATTCCTTTTTAATTCAAAATAACCAAAAAAAAATCTTTTCTTTAATTAAAGGGTCAAAACCCTAAAAACTCGTCCGATTTAATTTCCCGCACGCGATCCATTTTATTCAATATTGTATATGTTTCCTGGAATGTAATAACTTAATAGGACTTTACTATTTTTACCGCTTTATTTTCCGCATTTTAATTTCAAGGGTTGCTTTTGGCGATGTAAATACCCGACGCCTTGTAATAGTTAGTTTAATTTCCGCAACTTATAAACTGTTAGATGTTTGGTAATAGGGAATGCATGACAAGATTAATAGTTTAAAACCTAAAATCAACATAGATAACCATTGACATGTACAAAGACAAAATTAACTGAAAACAACATACTCGCACATGCGCACTCTTAGGGTACACCTCACTTGGTTGCCTTCGTAACGCGGTCATTGAGTATAGGAAGTTTTAGAGGTCGCCCTCTTGTCCAAAGATCATAGTTGCCTCGAAACGGTTGCCTCGGAAAAATGATCTAAGACATTAGGATTACCGCTAAGGCATCCTAACATTGCTTTAGTGACCGCACGTCCCTTAATTGAATTGACCCTTAAACTCCAACGACGGTGCTACCTACTCATCAATAGTGGGATAGCATTGTCTAAAGGAAGATAGCATAGGACGATTCCTTTTTTTCGAGTAGGTAGATGGTTCTTAGGTACTTGCTCTTTTAAAACAAAACAAAATTTTCACACTTACACTCCTTTTCAAACAAAAACTTCTTCAAACCCACAAACACAAAGAAATCAAATTTTTGAAAACAATATGAGCAAGTACCTAAGAGCCCGTGGATAACCACTGATAGAAAGGGTGTTAACACCTTCCCTTTCTATAATCTACCCCCCGGACTCGAGAAACATCTCAAAAAAAGAATTTTTCTGTGCTTTTTTCCTTTCCTTGTTGGATAAAATAAAAGACGGTGGCGACTCTTGCTTACCGCGACATTTTGCAAAAACAAACGCAAAACGCAAACCAGCATTCCAAAAAACAGTCAATTCTCTCCCACCGTATCACAGAACTGGCGACTCTGCTGGGGAGAGATTAATAAGTGGGGTGTACCTTAGGATTAGATCATTGTGTTTTCAATTGTTTTCTTTGTATGTTTTATACTTGTGGGCTTGTATCGGAGTTACTATAGATCCTAACCCGGATCTGGGGATACCCTTTAGGTAAGTAGCAATAAACTGTGAGGGAACTGTACGACGGAGATCGATACAGTTGAAGTAGTAGCTACGTTGGTGTGGCACTTTAGATTGTACCGATATCCCTTGTGTTGGAACGAGGAGAATATGGGTCATCTAAGGGGTCATTAAGCACCAACTGATCTTAGAACCTCTAAATTGACCAACTCGGCCATAGAACAGTAGCAGTATGCTACACTCATTGAGACTAAACTCTCGCAATGATTCCGGCCGCAAGAAAGGGTTACTAAACTGGAATTATAACCGATCGAGGGTGGTCAATGATATTGAGATCCTCTAGAACCCGGTTACTATTTTTAGGACAGGTTTAAACCAACTGAACTGAAAAAGGGTAGTACCTAAACTCCTTGCCAGCCTGAAATCTAAGGGCTCTCTGTGTGACTTATGTGCCTTTACCATGTTTGCTATTTATGGATACTTATGGTGTGCTTTCTATCATGACATCATGACATCATAACATTGCATACATCTTGCATTGGACTAACCTATTTCAAAGACAGGAGAGATTCATCTTTGTTCTGTTTTGTAGGTCATGATGCCCATGCGTAGGAATACCATCCGGATCAACTTTGTCCAGGTTCCCACAATGCTTAAAGAATTGATTGCAAAGATGCCTAATACTACCTCCTTCATCAGAAGACATGGGTATCTTCTCAGTTTGGTCACCTCCAAATTGGACGAGCAGATGATGAGTGTTTTGGTCCAATTCTATGATCCGTTGTACCATTTCTTTACTTTCCAGGACTACCAGTTGGTTCCCACCTTAGAAGAGTTCTCTGATCTGCTCGGTATCTCTATTCTGGAGCAGACCCCATTTACTGGTTGGGAGAAGATCCTTAGGCCAGAAGAGATTGCTTCAGCCCTTCATATGACAAAGGATGAGGTAATGGCTAATTGGGAGACTAGAAGTGGGGCAAAGGGCTTCCTGACTAAGTTCTTGGTTGGTAAGGCTAATTATTTTTGGGATAGTCTAGACTTCAAGGCATTCAAAGATATTCTGGCTCTTCTAATATATGGCTTGGTATTGTTTTCG